ATAATATTGAAGTCTAGTATGGTGATTCACATATGAGGTGATTTTGTCCACCAATAGCGATGGCAATGGAGTTTCGTACGATGGTTCAATAGAACAAATACCACATTCAAAATTCTTAATTTAGAATCCAACTATTAATGGGAATAGTCAGGTGGTAAGATATTGTTTATTGAAACCAAATATTTGGTTTGTAATAATACTATCGAAAAAGTAGCCCTGATATACGAAATATTCAAATTAGAATTAAATCTAATCAACTCCGCAAATATTATCTAAAGCGTAAGTTTTACATATATAAATAATTATTTTAAAAATGTAATAAATTTAATGATTTGCTTAACTTGATACTCCAATATACAATTTTCAAAAAGTTGTACAAAATAATTTTTCAAATTTGACTATTTCATTATTTTTACAATTCTATTTTTTAACTCCATCTTATCTTCATCTAAACGCCAACTTATTTAATTTATTTATAATTATAATTATTTTACACATTATATTCACTACGGATTATTATTAATATAGTTATAAAATGTTTAAACCATAACTCTAACTATTATAAACTGCATTTTTAATTAATTATATAATTGCTATTAGTTATTAAAAATTATAATTTATTAGCTATTAGTAATATCAATAGTTCAAGGTTTCAAAGTTTTTAAGTAGAAAATATCGCACTTCTCGAAACGTAGAAATAATTATAAATAAATTATAAAATAAATAATGTTTTTGAAGGTGATTTTTAATTGAAAAAGATAAAATTATAAATAATATTAGAAAATATATAGATAAACAATAGTATTAAGATAGTGTATTTAATAGCCCAACACGTGGGTTGTTGCAGAATTTTATTTCCTTTTCCTGAATATTCACTAACCTTTGAAAAATTAGAGAATTCTTATGAAATCGAATACAAAAAGTTCATTTCGAAGTTCTTTTTTTTTTTTAATTACTATAAAATGTATCACAATTATGGTAAAATGTGTTCTGATAAAATTTGCCTGTGGAATCTACGCGTTATCAGGAAATACCTGAGAATATGCTTTATCAGTGTGACTGCCAATTATTTATGTAAAGTTAAATATTTATTCGTGAAATTGATTATCATTAAATTTAAATATTCATGAAACCGGCATTTGTATTAAGAAATTAGCATTTTTAATATGTATTTATTGATATGAAAAAGACAGATCTATTACTCCGTGCTATTCTACTTGGTATTACTCTAGATTATTCTGTATGGCTTGACCAAGATTATTAGATTCATGAATTCATTTTGAGAACTACAATGTAGATAATTGTTAGGATACTCGCATGTAATTGACATTTAGTAAATATTAATAAAAAACCGTATTAATGGGATTAAAAACGTTAAAATTTGTTACCCGATTTTTATACATTCCTTAAGTATACCTTTGATGAAAATCGAAAAATAAGTTATCAATTTATTCTTATTTAAAATAATTAATTAATTGCTAAATGACTAAGTAGTTAATCATTTAGGCATTGCATTTTGTTATACTTTATAGATTTATAGTTAGACTTTTTTTCTTTTTCATCACAAACAAATAACCGACATATCGTGTATTTTATTAACTTCCCGTAGGGTAAGTTATAGTAATCGCAAAAAAAATCAAAAATAAATTTTTTTATATATCTTTACGTTTCAGAGGTTTCTGAACATACTTCACAAAAAATGGATGTATGTGTGTATGTGTGTGCGGATACAAATTTTTGTCGACGATTTCGGGAACACGGTTCAACGATATCAATAATTCAAAAAACATTCGATTGCTGTTGATAAGGAGACGAGCTGATTAGTTTTTAGCATAAGCAGGTCTAGCCGTTTTGAAAATACGGTGTAAAAAGTACCTCAAACGGTAACTCAGTTTTTAAGAGAACGGAGCGTCCATTTTAGTAATTCAAAAAACATTTTACTTGTATTGAAAAGATGAAAAATGATTAAATTTTTGGAAAGGCAGGTCCAGTGGTTATGGACTCTCAATAAAAATAAGATAAAAAAATGCCATTTGGCGGTCAAAAATGTTTATTGGGCATGTACATCAAATTATCAAATATTTTACAGAGATTTAATAATGTGTACACATTTTGTGTCAATTTTTTGGGTTTTGTACCTAGATTTTTAATTACGGTACGGAAAGTTCTAGCAATTTGTCTTAATGCACGATGCCATGCACTCCACTAGTTTACTTTAATTTTGCCTGACTTATAGTAGTTAATTTGTTGATTGTTTATTGAAATTTTATAGTGATATTACTTCCTATTTAATTTTTTCTGGTTTTATCAATAAAACATGTTTTTATATTTCATAATATGGGTATAGCCTTTCGTCATTTTATAATTCAATCATTGATTTCGATTCATCAGGAAGTAACCATTCAAATCAGATTAGTCAGAAAAAAATTGATATAAGGCAAATGGTATAGGCAAACTTAATATCGCATAGAAATATAATCATATGAATCTTTCTATATTATAGTGTGAAAAATAAATATCAATTACCATGCTGGAATGAACGTCTAAAAATCATTAGTGCGCGATGAGGGTTTGTTCGATAGCGTCATGAATATTTAACTCAGCCGGTTGGTTCTGGACCAACTTCAAGGTAACGGATAAACGAACGCATCCAAAAATCATTCTAGATTCGTGCGAGATCGCGAGCGTTCGTTTATTCAGTTGTTAACTGCACATGAGATAGGGTGTGTTGCAGTTGTACCGGCGAATTGCATCAACTGAACATTTCGCTTTAATTTCCAAGTATCGATTTATTGATTTTTTGCTTCAAATTTGTTTATATGCATTAAAAAATGTCGGCTTCGAATACGATTTTTGTTGAAAGTAATAAGTGACGTACACAGATGATTACATCGATGCTAAATATGAATATCAAACATCGAT